AAAAGAAGGGAAATTAGGGAAGGAAAAGGAAAAAGAGAAGTATGTGTGAAGTTGCTACCCTATCCTTTCTCCAAAGCATATGGGCTGTGCCGTCTGATGCTGTTGGGAGATACATCAGCCTCCCTTTTAACTTATCCTCTCATCAGCGTGTCTGTGTCTGCAAAACCAGTGGGGAACGTCTGTAAATAGAGTGATATGCAATTTTTCTTTATTCTAAAGTGCAATTCTATTGCAACTCCAGAAGGGAGTTAAACTCTTTTTGGAGTTAAATCAGTGACAGTCCATGTCTCTGCAAGGATCTTTTCTTGTTCCTTTTTGTCTTTGGTGCTTTGGGGTCTGTTTTTTGTTTGTTTGAGGGGTTCTTTTGTTTTGTTGGTTGGTTGGTTGGTTTTTTTATAACACCACTCTATAGGTTTTGCATGTTAATATTGCCTTTGGTCACAATCAGAGAAGGGATCTGAGTTGGAAGGGACCCACAAAGGTCACCGAGTCCAGCTCTGAAGTGAATGGCCCGTACAGGGATTGATCCCGCGGTCTTGGCGTTGTTTGCTTGCAGTGTGTTCATTTTCTCTCTGTGTGTTCAGTAATCCCATGCTTTATTTATTTTATGCTTCTGCTGGATTAGAAATATGATGAATTCTTAGATTTTTTTCTGGCTTTCCACTTGCAGCTGCCGCTGCATGTAAAAACTGATGGGGATTCCTGCTCCCTTCAGTTGTTTCAACAGCATTAAAAAGACATAAACAAGGGGTGATTGAGGAGGAGGCCAGAGATTCCACGGCACAGTGAGGAGAGTACAGCCAGAAGACCAGCTCAGTGCATTCTTCCTTGCTGGCAGGAGCAGTGCCAGTTATTCCCCAGTGCCAGGACAGCTTTGCTGAGGAAATGGGTGTGAGTTAAAGAGTCTCTGAGGCTTCACCTCCTTCATCCCCCGTGCCAAGTGCACCTCAGCCGAGATCAGTGAGTGCCAGTGGCTGCCCCACTGTGCTCCTCCCATCGTCCTGCCACGGCTGGCAGGGCTGGAGCAGTATGATCTCCAGTTTCCAAGACCTTTGGAGATGGCTGGTGGAAAGTGTCTTGCACTAATGTGAATAACTGTTTGGTGCTGATCTTTGGTGAATACTAAGAAATGAGAGGAAGATATGATTTGAAATAGTAAAAAAATCATGCTAGTGAAGTGCTGAGGTCTGAAGTGATGGGAAAGGCAGCAAGGTGTAAAACTCAAAGTGTTTTGCTAGAACTTACATAAAAGCATGTATTATACCTGTGTAAGTGCTTGTATTTCTAAAAACCTGCCACATTGCAAGGCTTAAAAATATTTTTCTTAATATAATGAAAGAACAGAAGCGTGAGTAGTGCTGTAGTTGTCTGCAACAGAGTTCTGGTGCTAGCATGTTCCCATTTTTACTCTCAATATTTTTCTTATTTCTGTGAAAGTTTCTTGATTCAACCTCCTTCTCGGAGACTTTTTTACATTTCAACTACAGATCATTTTAATTAGCTTTTTAATTACAGCTGGAGCAGGCTATTTACAGCACTCCTAAGTGCTATAAACAAGTCCATGTGAGTTAAAATAAGAGGTGATTAGCTACTGTCATTTTCCTCTCACAGAAAGGGAAACATTTTTCTCTGTCTTGTGGCAAATACAGACCTAGACTGGAAAGGACTGTTTGGCTCACAGTTCACACCTTGAAACAAGTTTACCACGGGGATTTGCTATGAAGATTTTGAAGGAATTGATAGTCTAACTTCCTAAATTCTTTCAGTATTGCTCATCTGGATAAAGAGTATCATGGTTATGTTAAACAAAGATGCTTTTTGTAAGAGAGCAGTGAATATGGAGAATAAGGCAGCATCACCATCCTGTGTTAGAACCCACAGAATAGTGATACAACTTTGTTATGATTTTTTGAGTCACCTCAGACTGAGATCTCTTGCTGTGAACTTGGTTCTTGTTGCAGATTCTGAAGTGTCCCGGTGGTTGAATGCCCAGAGAGAACTGAAAGCAACCCTTGAATAAGGGCAATCCTACTGTCATCATCTGCCCAAAAATGTGACAGAAGGACCCAGTGCTGCAAGACAGCTCCTGGAGCCCATCAGGAGCCACAAGGTGGGAGTTCCTTGTGAGTGGCAGGAAGGAATTGGGCTGTGGACACTGCTCTGTGAAATACATGGCTGCAGATGCTTCTGGGGATCCCAGCCAAATGTGCTTTGGAGCTCTCTGTCAAATGCACGTATTTGGCTCATATGCAAGGTTAGCTAAGGAAAATGGGAAAGCATTTGTGTTCCCAACTCTTCTCCGAGGTGTAAGGTCTTTCACCCAGGGAACCTAAAGGACAAAGTCATGATAATTTGTCTGAGTTTATAAGTGTGTGGTCTGAAAGGTAACAGAACTCTGATTTTACACCTCTATATGCCAGGCACAAAATAGTTTAGTCTGCTTTTTTTCCCCCTTTAATTCCATCATATCCCGCAAAGCTTTTATTAACATCTTTATTGTCTTTAAAACAACAGAACTCCTTGATAGCTATTTTTGTGCAGTGCAAGGTACTTTTTGTAGCATCTCAGTGTTGTTGTTCCCTACTCATTTGGTATTTTGTTTTCTTAAATATTTATGTGCAAAACAGTGGGCTGCCACAACGTGGACCTGTTGACCATGGACTGTGTCAAAGAAAGACACCACCAAAGTTTAACAGCAATGCCTGTCCCATGCACGGAGCACCTTCAGAAGGACTTTCACATCTGTCACGTTTAATTTACGGATACCAAAGGTAAGGAATTAAGCAAGTACAGACTTGTATTCAGGCCCATTTTCTCCCCTGATAGGTTGTGCAGGAATTAAATACATGTGTTTGCTGCAGAACTCCAAGGTTGTTGCAAATATCTTTACACTGTTATACACATATATATATAAAATATATATCTATATTTAGGGTGCATGTTGTTATTTTGGGTGTAATAATAACACTGAGTTTAACCTAAAAAGCAATCCTGTATGCCATTTGTCTCGAATGAAGCATGAACTCCATGTGGATAAATTGAAATTGTTCATTTGGGCGGTATGTTTTAAAAGGTATTAAAAGACATACAGCTGCAGGGTGATTGATAGATAATAATTCTAATTATAAACAGGGGTCTGTCACCTCTAGCCTTCCAGTCAGGCTCTTGTTACAGTTTAGAGTCGGGCTCTTGTGAAAAAGAGAATGTCCACAGCATGTAAGGATAAAATGACAAGAAAAACCATTTGCTTTGTTCATTGATGATTATTTATAGGAGTAGGTTATGTGAAACCAGCTCTTAGTGAGGCTTTTGTGGGGGATTTGAAAAAAGACTGACTGGTTTGGGGTTTTCTTCCCCTGAGGTTTGTGTGTTCAGACCTGTGTTTGCTTATGCATCGGAGGCATTTTCTGTGTTATTCCAATTCCAATTATAAGTAAGAATTATCCTCCGTTCCCAAAGGCTCCTAAGCTCCTTATTCCTCCCCTCTGTCCTGGCACAGCAGCAGTGCAGCAGTGCTCCATGACCCTCCCAGCAGCCACATTCCCGAGGGCTGTGTGTGTGGGCACAGCCACCTGCTGCGCCCGCCCTCCGCTCCCGTTCCCAGCGCGGGCTCGAACACAAACTGCTGTGCTGAACAAAACGTGACACGACGCAGTTTTCCACCGAGTTTCAGCTTGTCCTGCCTCAAAAGTTATTAATGACTCTCTCGGTGCACAGAGAGCTCGCTCTGTAGTCCAGCACTAGCTTACTCATGGTCACCAGGGTTTTAATTTCCATGCTGTTACTTTAATTCTGTAAATTATCTTCGGTGTGCAGCAGATCAGTTTGCAGGCTGTGTGTTTAGCGGTGGGAATTACTCACTTTGCTATGCTGTGCTCCTCTAGGCGAAAGTGAATTCTGTATTTTCTTGGCACACAGGTTTTTTTTGGCTCAGATAACTATCAGACGCTAACACTTCGGATTAGACTTTGACTTCGATGGTGACTGCCATGACAGGAATGTGCAAGATGTAATATTAGAGCGCTTGGAATATTTTCAAAGGCAGTAATCTTTGTGTCTCACAGAAAGTGGGATGGTGTCCTGTGAGAACAGGTATTGCTAGGTTTATTTTCTTTATTTTCTCGTGTATTTGTTGCCATGCCTAAACACTGCGAGGCTACTCGTGCTGTAAGAGCATTTCCTCTTTTAACATTTTTTAGAAGGTGTAAGAATCACTGTTTACTTTTATCTAGAGAGGTTAGGATGCTTTATGTCATTTTTCTTTCATTTTTCTTCCTGGACCAAAAGACTGTGTTTAATTGCTTTTTGGCACAGACACTCCAATTGCAAGCGCTACTGTAGATATCATTTGTGCTACTTTTCTACTTTTTCTACTGCTGGGCATTGAGTGCAAAATGTTGCAAGCAGTGGCATTTGGATTTGGGGGATTGGGTTTACTTCTTTTTCCCTCTAGTGACTTGAATAACAGTGCAAAAAAATTGTTAAATGTAAGAGGTTTTGAGATGTACACAGGATCAGTAAGCAGTGGCATTGGTAGAAAACAGAAGAATAAGACTGCCTACTTTTCTTGACCTCAGATTGGCTTATCTACCTTCACCTAGACTGATAGAATGAAGAAGATAGATGTGTTTAATTTACACTCTATTCTGCTGCTAGCTCACAATGACACAGAAAATTTGGCTTAACGTAAGTATTAATAACTTTTTATTAAAAAAGTGGGTTAGAAGACAAGAAATAGAAATATGAACCTTTGAGTAAATAATTTTAAGTCCAGTCCTTTTATCTATGCAAATTCCTCCAGAAAATGCAACACTTTACTATGCATTAAAAATGTAAGTATTAAATAAACAAACACAGAAAGCAGAATAATTGTTAGTAACTCTATGTAATTACTTTCTCCCTGGGTTAATATTTAATTACCACACAGTTAAGACATCTGGGAAAGCCTAGTTCAGATCAGCTTTGTTATTTCTACACTACAGCACAAGAGATGTGAATAATTGGAGTAACATTTTATTGATCTCAAACAATACTTCTTTCAGCAATTAAAATGCATGAGGAGTCATATGAACAAGGTGAAAATAAAGCACAACCAAAACAAAAAAAAAACCAAAACTTCACATTTTTTCCATTTCATCCTTAGTGTAAGCAATAAATACAATGCTATAACTTCTATGAATCTTATTTACATAGTACAATATGTGTGAATGGTGTCTGGTTTCCAGCCCAAATGTTTCTCCACATGAAAAGGAGTACATGTTGCAGCATTTCCACAGCCAAAGAGTCGAGTAGATCATCACCACGAAAAACTACACAGCAGAAATGCTACCATTAAACAAACGACTGAGGGGGTCCTGCAACGGAGCATTTTATTAATTGAAGACAGTAGCATAAAAAATAGACATTTTCTCTCATAGAATCCTAACATGCTGGTGTTACAGACAACAAATATAAGACAACTATTTCTGTAGCCCCTGTAGATTGATACAATAAATCCTCACTACATTAAAAAAAGAAAAAAAAAAAGAGAAAATAACAACAGGCAACTATTTGCATGTTCAAAGGAATCTCACAGCCCCACCAAAACAGTTTCCTTCCATCCCAGAGAGTACAGATCTAGACTTGCAACATTCTGCAAAGTGGAAAATCAGCCGTGAGAAATCAGCATGAGGATTTGATTTGAATTTATGGTGGCAGAAGAACATACTAAGAAGCAGATGCTTCTCTTAGTTATGTAGACACCGAAAAAGGTGAGGTAGGAAGACGAAACAAGGAACTGGTATTTTCCCAATGGAAATTAGAAAAATAGGGTAGTAGCTAACTTCACGAGGAGAGGGGAAGATAGCTCTCCACAGCCACGAACATTTTCTTGCACATCCAGCTGGATGCATGTTTCTTTTCCAGAGTGAAGACAGACATGTGCCTAGAAGCATGCTGTGAATGTCCACCTAGAAGTAGGACGATTTCTGTAGAAAAACAATTTTTTTCCCCTAAAATTACCACTAGAATTTTCTATAATAGAGGACAGAGAGCAAACAGCAATTAGTATTACTTGGCATTAAATGATCAAAATCTACAGGCTATTAAATTTTAACTGCCTGGCTGTTAAAAGAAGCTGAATTAAAGTCTAATATCGTGTCACACTCTAAACCATCCCGTGTGTTTTAATTACAGCAACCCACCAGGTACCATGAAATAATTGTCATCAGGGACTTAAAGCACTTTAAAATGGACAGATACCTGCCTGGGCTTTGATTCTCAGCTGGTACCAGCTGGTTCTGCAAATGGAGCTCCAGACAGATTTGTACCAGTTGATGGTCTGGTCCCACAAGTGTAAAGTTGCTACACCAGAGCAGGGATTTTTCTGCACCTCTGATGTTTTCAGAACATTTGCACCACTTTTGTGTAACAATACCTAGATCAGCAAGCAGGCTCTAATCACGTTGTAGCAGGCATCCTTACTGTATCCTTACAGTTTAAGAGACTGTGACATCTGCTTGCCAGATTTCCCACTGCTCTACGGTACAGAGTCCAACAGATTTTTCCAATCATTCCCATCGGCCAACCAGGCAGCCTCGCGGAAGAAGAGAAAGGATTTGTGCGTCCTAGCTGAGATTCTGTAATATTGTGAAACTAAATCGTTAATAAAACACTTTTCTAAATTCAAACTCCAGGTTGTAAGAACAGTAAAAACATACTGGAAAGGTGCAAGTGGAGTGAACTTACCACATCCTCCTAATGTTTTCCTTCTAAATACAAAATATTCAAAGCCTTATGAAGTCACAAGCTAATAAACACTGTGACATCAAATTACCTAGATGCTAGTGAAGCTTACAGGAAAGCTACTGACAGAAAGGTTTAAATGTTAAAGTCAAGGTGTTCATATACAAAATTAGGTATTTAAAACTGAAATGGTCTCAGAAAGAACTGTCTTTAAATTTTGGACTGGTTTACACGCACCAGATAGACATTAATTAGCATAATAGTCTGTCTGTTCCAGCACCTACTTTTTCTCCCACTTAATTTTGTTTTTTCCCACTTCAAGTAGACTTATCTGCAAATTAAAGGTATACAAATTTTTCTTACATTTGTGATTTTCAGTAGGACTTTTCCGAACTCGCCTCATTTCATGCCCTCTTTCTTGAGAGTATTTTTGTCATTTCAGTTCACAAAAGCACAATTTCTTTAACGCATAAAGATTTAACGAAAACATGGATTTCTGTAAAGACACATTTCCTCAAGACCACATTTCCTGACAACCTCCTCGGTTTCAGTGAGACCTTTACACACCAGCAGAACCAAAGAAACAACATATAAAGTACTGTCCCAAAATAATATTAAAAGTCTCAATCCATAACGTTTTGACTCTTTATAAAACAAACTGTATATTGGATTTTTCCAAATAATGACAGTTAATAACAGTAGTTTGCTCGATTAGTCTGAACTGGCTTTAAAGGTAGTATGTCCTGTGCACTGCGTTCAGTCTTTCATGCTTATCTCAGACAACAACAACAAAAAAAGCCACAAAATTAATCAAAACCTTGCCCAAGAATGAAGGGATAAGTTATCAAGCATATGGCCAGGGAAATACTTAAAAATAAAATGAGGAGAATGCTACAGCAAATCCTGCACATGATCTTCTCCAGGTTGAGTAAATTCCTTCAGCACAGAGTGAAGTTCCATCAGCTGCAATTACGTATTAGTGTCTGGAAGGGTTTACAGTCATTCAGGTTACTCCTTTTCTTTCTGGCAGTGAGGCCTCATCAATCTTGTCTGTGTTAAAGCCAGGAAGAAAGTTCCACACACTTCAGGAGACCGAGGAGTTTCTGAATGTGCCAAAATAGCTTAAATAAAATTGCTCAAAGCTTGCTGCAAGATATTACCTTGCAGTACATGGAGACTCAGACTTGAACTGGTGTCTCTATGCTTGATGTAAAATAGTGGGAAAAATACCCAAACTGGCCAAACCAAACTGTCAATATCTTTAACCAAACCAGCAATATCTCTTTCCTCAGACTACCTGTTGGGCTTTTTGAACAGCCAAATAAATGCTGGACACAAAAAAAATAACCTGGATAACCTATTGTTATTATTGCACCTACTTTAACCATTTTGTTTTGTCCTATTTCAGGTTGAATTAAGACAACAGAGTCTGGTATTTACACTCTAAGATTCCACAGGCAAATGAAGTGGCTTCAACACAGCGCAGTCTTACACAAACTTCCAAGAAAACAAGAAATCCTTCGTTGATTCCCTTTTGTACAAAAAAAAAAAAAATTGCCAACTTTGTCTACACAGTAGAAACTGAAGAGGCAAAGTTTGTAACCCTTATATAAAAGCACATACATATATAGATATATATATATATGTACAGATGTCCATACTATATAGATACACAAGAAACACCCCCCAAAAAAAATGTATATATGCATATATATATATATATATGTATATGTACGTACGAAAGACGCGTCCTTTGGGAGAAGAACAAATCCCGAGCCGGGGAAATCCTTCTGGCCATGAAGTCACTCGATCCCGCTTGGAGCTGAGGAGGGGGCGGGCACAGCAGCAGGAGCTGAGCCCCCGGGGTTGCTCAGCCGTAGAGCTTCTCAGTCTTCAAAACCACGCTCTCCATGTCGTGGTAGCCCTTGCCGTTGAGGTGCTCGCTGGCGCAGTCGTGGCTGTAGCCGTAGCCCGGCACGTCGCTGATGGTGGACACGGTGTAGGAGGCCGTGCGCATGGCGTCCGAGTGGCTGAAGCTGTGCTCGAACTGGATCTTGTACTGGTTCCAGTGCCTCCGCAGAACAGCCTGGACCTGCGCCGCGAGACGAGGAGAAAGTCGTGTAAACGGCTCGGAGGGAGAACTCACTGGGCTTCGTTCTCTGGTGCACGGTAAAGGTGCCTCACCGGGTTAGGCAGCACAGCAATAATACCTACACATCACTTGTCACTTGAGGTGCAATATAAGTAAGAGTTATTTTTCGGTAAATTTGGTGTGAAATAAGGACATTTTTACGGTTGCGGTGCGCCAGTTGCTCAGAAAAAGCACGGGTTACAGAAGGAACAGCAGCAACGCAATTTTCCCCTTAATCCCCTTGTCAGCTCCAGTCCAGTGTGGACAGATCAGATTCAGAGGTGAAAAAGGTAATTTGTGTTCACCTCTCAGTTCAAAAGGCCCCATCCTCAGCAGCTGTACATTAATTTGCTCTCAACAAACCGTAATTTACATTTGCTATGGTTCTGACACAAGCAAGTCCTTCCTAATTTCTGACCGTACCTTAAGCCAGTGACTAGAAAGACAATTTCCCGAACTTCACATTACTATCAGAGTTAAAAATAAAGCTGGTAAAATAGCTGAAGGCCCAGCTGCTTTGCGTGTCTCCATGGAAAGGATGTGATGCTTTGTCATAACCTTCCTCTCCTACAATATGGTTAAACACCTGTGCATGTTGGTGGGATGAAGTGTCACATTCACAAAATTCACACGGAATTTCATGTGAAGATGCCAAGTGAGGAATGCCAAGAATGGTGATGCTTTTTGCTTTTTCAAGATTATTTTTTTTTTTTTTTTGGTGTTTAAAAACCCCACAGATTGTGAATATTTAATTTCCTCTTCAGCCAAACTTTGTACAGAAAGTACTCCTGCATTGACTGGCCAGGCTCTGACTCAGAAAATACTGGGGAGCACTGATACCTCCATGTATCCACCCCCAAATTACAGGTACCACTCAAAACATCACCTTCAATTCACTTTTTTTTTTTTACATTCAAAAGAACTAACCAGTGAACAGTGACTCCCCCACTTCACTGTTTATGTTGTGGATAAATATTTTTAGGATTTTCCATATGTCTTCAGGGTTTCTTTTGTGCCTGCTTCTAATTTCCCCTCACACAATGGCTTCTTTTGTCTAATTTTACTCTGGATTTAATTATGAAAAAAAAATAAGAATAAATAGAAGAAAAGGGGTGTAGATTTTAGACTTCCTGCAGTCTGGTGTCAGAAACCACTCTTTAAAGGAAAATTTCGTATTTCCCAAAACCTTTATAAAGCAAATATTAAAGGGTAAGGAAAGAAGCATCAACTGATTAACATAAGAAATTAGCATTTTAGGGCAAAGGAGATGCTCTCTTACTGTCCAAAAAAGCCTTTCTAATCTACTCTCATCCACCTAAGCACAAATCTCCAAACACTTTGGAGAAAAATCAAGTATCTAAATACTTCTGAGTATCAGATCTTGCTGCTTTTCATATCAAAATTCTGTATTCCTTTTCAGTCTAAAGGCAGAGCTTGTGTTTCAGCACAGGAAGTTTTGATTAATTAATATATGCATTGCCCAGCAATATGGACCCTTCTGTAATCTATCCCAAAGCCAAGAAGAAGCATATTCAAAATTCCATCTTTTCCGAGAAGGAAACTTTGAATTTAGTTTGAAAATATATCAATGAATCTGTGTCTGTCACTAAGCCATGTTCTGTTTTTTCTCCTTCCCATAGTCAATTACCTCAATAAAATTGGAGTTTCATTGCAGACACACATGAGAAAAATTACATATTAAGCTGTAAATGCAGCTCAGGACAGGTAGCACTTTGGGACTTTGTCACAAAGAAGGATATTAAGCAATGCATTTAATGAAGAAAGGTAATGTAATAATATGATTCTATTTCTCAGTCATTTACAGAGATGCTAGTTCCAGCTGGAATACTCCTGCTTCTGCACCTTATTAGTTGGCAATGGCTCTTTTTGGTGAGTTTTCATGAAGGGGCCTTCCAGTCAGCTCTTTAATGTACCAGTGGCTTGATGGTCAATAGCACACAAATCAAACAGCTCAGTAACCAAACAGGAGGAAAAAAGAAAAAAAAAAAAAAATCCAAAAAAGACCAAACCAAACCAAAAAACAACCAACCAACAAAAAAAACCCCTCACAACACAAGCTCATCTATCTCATCTATCATTAAACATTTTACAAACCCATAAAGCCAAGGCCATGATCTTCATGGTAACGTTTCTACACTCCTGTGAAATTAAAGAAAAAAAACCCAAACACAAACCCCACAAACCTAACAAGGATCACATAGGTCATTATTAGCACTGTAATAATTAATAGCTCACTAGGAGCCTTTCTACTGATTTATCAGAGACAAGCCTCTCCTCTGACCACAGCCTGTATGACAAACATCTGCAGTGCCTGTCAGAACCAGATCGGACAGGCCACCCCTGGCTGGACTGCTCAGGAAGCTGGAGAAGCTCCTTGGACACAGTCAGCAGGACATACCAGCTATTTTTCTTACATTTCTTCGTTTATTTTCACTGAACTTCTCTGCCAGCAGATCACATTAATTTACTTTTTGGCCAGAGGTGTCTGCTCGGATATGATTTGGATCCTGATATTTGGTGGAGGAGACACTAAAATGTACAGTAACAGTTGGGAAATGCTAAGATACAGACAGAAAGGAATTGGTGCTTTTTGCAATTTTAATTGCTAAAAACCCAACTAGAAAAATCTTTGCCCCACTGTCACTTCAAATGTTGACTCCAACATCTTTTCTGTGCTTTTTTCTCTACCTACAATGTCGTTCTCCCCCTGGGTTTCCTTACTGATGCAGTCATTTATAAAGCACCAAGTCCCTTCTTGAAAAAGATGAACTGAAAAGGTCTTTGAATCACTGAACCTAAAAGTGGTTTCAAAGGCACAAATTTCCACTCTATACAGAGCAAATACAGACAAATATGTTTAACTCACAAAGTCAAGTTCTAGGGTCTGAAAATCATCTAAATTAATAAATGTAAAAATGCCTAAATCCTCCTTTTAGCATTACCCTGCCAGCAGAAGTTCAAGCAGTGATTCACCTGTTACCATTTGCAGGTGTTGTGAAGGAGCTCATCTTTTTAGCTTGTTTTTACTACTTTTTACTAAAAACACATCAGCCTGTGGTGAATTTAGGATACTGAATAAGGGGTTCGACTCAGGTGTGCTTATCTTACATAGCAGAAGAGAATAATGTCAAAAACATGAGTTTGTAACAATGAAAGGTTAGCACATCCAGGATCATATTTTAAAATTTCATATCTTAAAATTAATCATAACTTAAAATAAAAACAGCCTAGCAAGAGGCACAAGGATTAAAAGACAGAACTGAGCAGTGAACAAGGTTGTGGAATAAAAACTGCAGAGATTTCAAGGCTTCCCATTCCTCCTCCTGTTTTTTGCACTGGAGCAGAACAAACTCTGATTTTTTTCCAAATACCTGTTTTAGAAGGAAGGCATTCTGAACTAGTACAATCTAGAAGGGAAAGAGTGTGTGAACTTGGGACTTGAACATGAATCTACTTTATGGTAAAATCAGATCAAACCCACTGCCCCACACCCACTGAAGAAAGCCTGTCCTCATCTTTTCTATCTCCTTGGCAAATGAAAAAATACAAAATCAGTGATACATTTGGGTGGGGACACACACAATGAAACAAAGATAAACCTTTAAACCCCATTGAAATCTGATCAGCTTTAAGACTCGGGAGGAGAAGGAAGGGCAATCTGCTGAAATGAATTTTGGTATTCTCTAAATAATTACCTGTAGGTAAATATTACTGTCCAATACCATTATATAACCACACTGACACAATTTTACAGCATCTGACAAAAGCAAGTAAGGGTTCAGTCACATGAAAACATCTGGTCACTCCCACACATCTGCTTACAGCCATACACTCTAACCACACTAAATGCAGAACAAATGAACAAACAGATGTGCAGGAATAAGTGCAGGATTGCAATTGTTGCTCTGCCAAAACTGCTGGACAAGTACCAGTGTACTTTCTGCAGCGTGGGGCAGGAGGTTCTGCTGTGTGCACTCCAGGGGTACAGCACCCTGACCCGTTCAAAATAACAGCAAAGCTTCGATGGGATCAACACAATCTGTTACTGAAATTGGGCACAGTCCTCTAATGGAAGAATGAAGAAGTTTGTCCTTGGAATTGGTGCTTTCTTAGGGGTGCACTTATCCAACACAAATTTCTGACCCAGGCACACCAACCTGTTGAGGTCTGATTTTTTTTTTTTTTTTCATCTGTGCAAAAAAAAACCAAAAAAGGGTTTTCCAAACCTCAGCCTAGCGTTTTCCCAGGGAGTCATCATAACAGAGTCACAGAATAATTTGGGTTGGAAGGGACCTTAAAAATCATGTTCTTCCAAGCCCCTGCCACGGGATACAACCGTACCCCAACCCAGTGTGCTCTATTCCTGCTAAAGAAAGAGCAATGATTCTCCAAGATAACATCCTATCCAGCTTCTAGCACAGGCAAATATGCCTTCTGAGTATTGAACTGCATTTTACTTTTCTGATACTTATTGAGAATTTACATCAAAGTGACAAGTGCCTTCAGTTTCTCATCTAATCAAGAAAAATGTATATTGCTCAGCACCAAAGAGTCAGTCCTAATGCACTTAAATGATGTGCCATGAATGATGGCACAGCCCTTCCCAAGCTCTGCTCTTGGCATCCTGAGGCTTTGTTTCCTTTATTTTGGGTTTGAAAAATTTAGACATAAAATGATAAAAAAAAAATTACCATCTCAGTTGCTGAAACAAAAGAGAACTATGCAAAATGGAAAATGATTGCAAATACACTAGAAGAAGTTGCTACCTACCTCACCATTAAAGAAGCAGAAAATTGTAGCCACCAGTAGACCCTGTAAAATAAAAATAAATGTTCTGTTTTATTACACATATCTATGGGATATTTCAGGTGTGAGATAGATAATTTGTGATAAAATTCAGAAAAACAAAGACAACACAGGACACATCTAAGTGGGGTGGCTCATTCCTGAAAAGATGGGACCAGTTATCATCTACGGTGATGTATCTCCAGGAGTTTCCTCGAGGAAGTGTGGTGAGAAAATCAAAGTCATTTATAGGAATGTTGCATTATAGGTCTTTAAAAATTAAGATAACACCATCATTTCTCCTTTTATTTGCTCCACATGCCAAGTGCTCTCCAGCCCAGGTGGGTGGGAACCGGGTGACGCTCCCTACCTGGTAGTGCATGAGGATGTGCATCACGTAGTCGTACACCTCCTCAGCGATCCGGCCCTCCGGTCGCCATGGGAACAGGACAAATTCGATGCCAAGCAGCGGAACAAGGATCAGGGTAGCCCTCACTGCTTTCATGTACAGGTTGGATTCGGCCTTGTGGGTGTCTTTGAGCTTGGTAATGAGAACGCGGACGATATTTAGCAGGAAGAAGAGGTTTACCTGTGGGGAAAGGAGACGACGCTGAGGGCAGCCTGAGAAATAATCCCACATGCTGATCTGGGAGACTGAAAACCAGACAAGAAAACTCATACTGCATGGCTGGGGTTGTGATTGCACAAGAAACAGCAGTTAAACATCTCTGAAAACACCTTTTAAGTAAGTGAGAGGTGGCTCTACTGGTATCCACATCCGTTCTTCTCATTTACTAAACAAGTGTGCATCCAGATACCCACCCTCTGCCAGTGCTAACAATCCACACACTTTTCTCTCTGGTCTCACAGTAGCAGTGAAGGATTAGGGTTTTTTTGAATGATTATTTATTTTCAGGTTGCTCCAGAAAGAGGACGATGCTCTTAGAATCATAGAATCATAGAATTAACTGGGTTGGAAGAGACCTTCCGAGATCATCAAGTCCAACCCTTGATCCAACCCCACTGTGATTACCAGACCATGGCACTCAGTGCCACATCCACCCTCATCTTAAAAACCTCCAGGGACGGTGAATCCACCACCTTCCTGGGCAGGCCATTCCAATGCCTGGTCACTCTCTCTGTAAAGAACTTCTTTCTAATATGCAACCTTCCCTCCTTGCATTTAAATATGGTTCTTCAAAAAAACTACTTTCTAATTTTTTCAAACGTGAACTCGACAAATTTACAGAGAAGAAAAAAAATCAGAATGAAAAAAATAAAAGAAGTAAAAGACCAAATGCTGCTACAAAAAAGTCCATACTCCTGTAGGCAAACAGTGGATTTAACATTCTCCCAGTGGCCAGTGGCTGGGGTTTTTTATTCATTCAGCAGAACTTGCAAATGAGGTGGTGCCCTAAAACACCTACCTGTGTGTGTATGCACACACACAGAGCCAAAGGATGTGAGTAACCAGAGCAGCAGAAGCAGTGAGGGATGCTTACACTCAACTTTCATCATCTCCTGTGCAATGCTGGCAGCCCCTGACAGAAGCTGCAGCTGGAAGAGACCTGGAGAGCTCAGCCAGCCCTTCCCCTTGCCCAAGGGCACCGAGGCAGGACAGGGCTGCTTCAGGGACCCTCTAAGGAAGGGAGAGACACAGAACCCAGCCCTATCTCAGCTTCCAGATCATTGTCTGTCCTTGTTAACAACTGGAGACAAAGGGGAGGGCGGGGGAAGAAGGTAGCAGACAGCAGGACAACTCCCTTCTGAAAAACCTCGGAATTCCTGGTCTAGGAGGAGGCCTCTGTGTTGCTGTAGGACAAATGCAGGCAGGGAAGCCATTTCAGACCACGAGTGGCACGATGCCTCCACAGCCCCAGCAGAATTCTTTATGTCAGATCAGGTTTTCAGAATAAACAGCTGTGTACTGTTATAGCAACATGGCCCTTGACAGATATGGGATGTTATTTATATTCTGCCTGCATGCTATTTAAATCATTTTAACAGGAAATTGTTTTACATAGGAAACTACTGCATGAATTTCTCCTGGAAGCCTCCAGCTACCTTTAAGCTTTGTTTACACCACCAAGGTCTTCTGACTCTTTCTCAAGGAATTTATTTAGATTTTATGTAGCCCATCATCCCCATCCAACTTCCTATGATACACACAGACAACAAGTCCTTCCTCCATTTCTAAATTTAATCCTTCTCAAATCTACTTGTTCAACATCAACATGTATCAAACACTGAGTTTTCAGCCCTCTTGAGTTTTGGTAGCACAGGCAATTCCTCTAACCCTGTCTTTGAATGCCGACTGAAGATGAAAGTTGCAGCAGCCAGGCATGAAACACCACCCAACAAAGCTGTTTCTTTTACAGCGTGCACAGGATTTTTCTGTTTGTTTCACTTGCCCACCAAAACCAAAAAGCACAAAACCAAACATGCAGAGTTTGCAAATGGCCAAGAGGGCAAACAGAAAGCTGGATGAGGCAGAGCAGAGAACAGAGTTGAGGGCTGTCACTCACTGGCACTGGGGGTGTCAGTAGAAGTGTGCAGTATTTTTGATGCATATCCCTTCTGGCACAAAACAGAGTGAGGTTGGGCTGAACTGAATTCCTAATTGAAGTGATGAAAACAGCTCCTGATTTTAGCAAGTTAGCGAGTAGATTTTTCACACTTAAGCAAAAGTAGGCCAGTGGAACTACTCGCTAGCATATTATCATCAAATTGACTGTGATGGTTTGGAAAAGCCCAGAGGAGCCCTGTAGTGCTGGCTGCAGCATGAACACAGAGCAGCACAGCGACAGCTCCACCCTGACCTGAAAACTGAACCGGGCACGTGAACAAAAATGGGAACAAAGGTAGAGAAGGCAATGCCAGCTACAAGGAATGTCAATGCCTGTACTGGAAATTTAGGAGCATTTAGGTTCTGCCTGAAGGGTGGCTGATGAACTTAGCTGAGTTTATAAGTCTGCAGTTCTTGAATTCAACTCTCCCCATCTCCCGGGTACTTCTACTTCTCTCCACACTGAGTTTGGACTAAGCAGCGTGACATTCCTTATTAGCATAGAGGTTTAAATTCTGTTTAAATTCCTCCTTAATGTGATATAAACAGAACTATTCTCAGCTCAAGGCACACAAATAGTGGCTGGTGGCCCTTGCTTGGCTTCAGTACAGGTATGCAGCTTCAGATCCTGGCCTGCTTGAGGCTGACTTGCTTGGGCACAGCACCTGTATGTGCTCATGAGGACGTGTCTTACAGCTGGTCTGGGGACATTCCCAAGGCCAGGTATAGGAGTGCTGAGCATTAAAACTTCTAAACTCTTAAGCCTTGCACTGAGTCCAACTCAGAGTCCATTAAATGTAAGGACATTAAAAACACAGCTAGGACCTCCTGAACTTCCCTCTAGCACACGTTCACTCGGAACTTACTGAAAGAACTTGCATCTCTAAAAGCCTGTCAGACTAAGACACCAATACATAGCATTATTGTAGGGAGAAATAAACATCCCTGTGGCATTATTTATATAAATAATGGCATAAGTAAATAAAAAAACTCTGTCAGTGGCATCAGTGTAAATGAAATTGTTTGTGCCTTGGCACATACCAAGTGTCTCCACTGACATCAGTACTGCTTTCACTAACATGCAAACCCATTCCTTTTCATCCCTTCCCTCCCCCTGAAGTTTTGGTCAATATTTGCCTAGCATGACAACTAACATCACCCTCTACTGTTTCATTCCCACGCTGTTTCTTTAATTGTGGTTGCTTGGGCAAAGAGTTGTAATTTAATGGTCAACTGAAGAGAATTCCAATCAAACTGCAACCTATGTCTGCTCCCATTTCCTGTCTCTTTGGCAGGGATCTGACCGCAGTTATGTAATGACAGGGGCCATAAAAGCAGCGTTGTTGTGAACTTTATGTAATTGTAGGGTTTTCAGTGATGTGCAAGAGTTAAACTCCCATTGGCTTCTGCCAATTCTCCCTGGCACCTGCTTGACAGTCCCCTTCGTGTTCTTTGAGATCTTACTCCTGAAAATAGAAACAGTTTCTTCTCCCTCGTTACCTAATTTGCAGTTTAATATTATTGCTTAAATGTCTCCTAAAGCAGGTCATGCTTAGTAAAGTGTGGAAATTGTATCTGGCAAGCAAGCTGCTTAAGCAAATGAGGGTTCTGTTCACAAAGCCTAAACACATGCATTTAATCTAACAACATCTTTATCCCTGCCTTGTCTTTGCTGAATTTTTTGTGTTTCCAGAAAGGAAAGCAACTCCTTTAAAGTACTTTCACGTCACAGGCAAGATGTGCAGTTGTGTTTAGTCTCTGTTATTCCTACGTGATTTTCAAATAAATTTAATGGTCGCACTGAGGCAAGAAAAAAATACAAGAGAAACACCTTCAGTCAGCTCATTAAAAATATAGGAATATCAGAGGTGCACATAGCTGTAAATTGCAAAGAGAATGGACAAAGACTCTGCCCAAACCAGCTCCACAGAGACAATTATTATGCCTCCAGTAAGATCAAAGAACATTCCTGGTGTTGCCTTGAACAGAAAGAAGACTTGATCATTTGGGACAGATCCAGTGCATTTGAAGCCTGTAGGATTCTGGCCACTTGCAGTGTGATTTCGTGGAGGCTTGGAAGGATAAAATGATCTTTCATCTTAAAATGAGGTCACTTCATGGAAAACAGTACAGGTTTTACACATTTTTTTACATTGTTATTTAAAGTAAGTTCTGACTAATATTAATTATAGTTCAGCTTTAAAGAGCTTTACTTAAGTGGTATATCTGTGAAGAGACACCTGAACAATACAAGTGACAAGCCACCAAAAAAACCCAAAAACCCTTGTGCCTTTCTGTGAAAACAGGGTTTCATCTTTTGTGTGAGGTAGAGAGAAAAAAAAATTGAAAGAATTGAGAACTGGGTTTAAGTTTACAGATTGGAGCACAGCAGATTAGTTAATGTCCTTACATGAAGATATATGGCAGACCTGACTGGCAGGACAAGAGATTATCAGAATGTCTCTGTGCTGCAGCATTCCTTGCATTATCCATCCACAGACATTAATTACATGGACAGCTGTGTAAGTAGGCACCTATTTCTATGAGGCAACAACCTACTGACAGAATTTCACAGGTTAAATCCAGTCCTAGTGAGTGCAACGTTGATTTTTATGCAGCAATGTCTTTGGTAGCAAACATTTAATAGAGCTGGCATTAACTTGGAGGGTAGGACAGAACTCTGCACTCTGAGGGTTCACAAAGGCCACAGAAGCTGCAATGCCCCCGTGGGCAAAGCACACACTGCTAGATTAGTGTCAGAACAGGGGCAGTCACAGGCACCTGCAGAACTATTTGCACTGGTTCTCTCCCAGGGACCTGTTCTAGTTTCCTCCCATCCCCTATTCCCACCCACAGTCAGTCCTGACATGCAAGAGCCCTCTTCCAGAACCTCAGGGAGCTGCAGTCTGGGAGCTGTTTGACCCACGAAAGAGGCCTCTAAATGTTAGCTTCAGGCTCTCACCAACTTCATGAGCCCATCAAGAGCAGCCAGAGAACAAATAGGAAAAACAAAAATATTATCTGAAAAATGCTTACCAACAGAGCAGCACAAATAGGGCCGTGGATGATGTACAGCAGATGAGTATCAGAGCTGATCCAACAGCTAGAGAAAACAAGCAGGAAAATAAAAAAAAAGCTTGGCATTGTTATCTCTGTATTCCTTTCCTTTTTTTTCCCCTCTCTTTAAAGAAAATGCAAATGTTTTGCAAAGTAAGTTGGAATGCTACTTACTTGTCATTATAATATAAAGTTCTAGCAACAGCATGTATGCAGGCAGGGATCAATGGGAAACCTGTGGAGGAAAAACAATATTTTCTTCATAAGAAAACACGGCTTATAACTAAGTAAACTTGGGTATCTTGCAGGAATCTTCTGTATTTTCACCTAATCCAAGCTATATACCTGCAGAGCAAATAAACTAACAGGGAGCAATTTACATTTTCTTTTCTTAGATTTCTTTCTGAGGGGTGTACGAAACCTTCTTTCCACTGCCTTGCCAGAAAAACACACAGAAAGAAGAAGCAAATCAAGTTATAACTTTTTAGAATGCAACAGCTGATCCTAATTAACACAGATGCTTTTCAGGCTGCAATCTGCAATAATGCCAAATAGATAATATTAAAATGGTAGTTGTATATATGGGCATAGCTTTAGCAGCATGGTTTAGCAATGTTGTTCACACCTTACTGGTATGAGGACAAGCTATGAATGTCTTGCTGGGTATTCCAAAAGGAAATTTGAAATTAGACTCAGCAAATCAGGCTGAATTAAAAATTTTAACATTAGTTGTCTGGGGCCCTTGACACTGAGGTGGTACCCAATCTTCAGAAACTGCTGAGCACCTACAGCCTCTCAGCCACACCTCAGCAGGACAGCAGTGTTTGATACTGATGCCACTTGAGATCTTCAGCTACAGCTACTCTGTGTTTGCTTAGTGAACAATACAGGTCAAATGGAACTGCTGGAAAAATAAATCTTTGGCCATCCCTAGCTCAGTTCTGACCCTCCACCCTAGACATGGTGAGACTTCTCTGAAAACAAACATTCGTTCCTGAATAAACATCTTCGAGATGAAGAACAATGAATAATTACTTCTTAATGTCTTCTTTATAATGGGAGACTATTTTCTCTATACAAAGGAGGAGCCACTTCCTGACTCCAGAAATGCATAATCTCTCTTTCAAGCAAAGACAGAAGTACATACAACTTCCTATGCTGATATTTCTAAGCTTGTTAAAACACCGCAGACAAAGAGGAGGGGTGTGGCATGGCCATTCAGAGCCATCAGAGGAACAGATGTTCAAGGGAGGGAGAGACTGCACTGGCCTGAAAATAGAGAAGGTGAAATCACATACCCCAGCCAAGGAGGTAATACCACATCAAGTGCTGTTTCTCAGCAAAAACAGCCACCACAATAAGAGTGTGCAGGTAAATGCCTTCACACAGCATCCAAAAGTAGTTGCAACCCATCAGGTACAGGTAGATGAACTGTGACACCTTGCAGCTGATCTGTAGGAGAGAAAAAAAAAAAAAAAAAAAAAAAAAAAAGGCGGAGTATAATACAAATTTTTAATTTGAAAATCTCGGAGCTTTATTTGCCAAGTGGAAAGAATGCCACTCGAGTCAACTGCTAATGTTTGTTCTGTTTCTCACTAAAATTATGTATTTGTTTACTTTTTAAAATATAACTTCTACGAAATTACAATTCCATATTTTATGATGACAGAAAACTTTTAACTGAGTCTGTTTTCCAGTTACTCATACAAGAGGACCTTGAGATCCTCAAGCACGGCAGAAAGCCATAATGATATTTTTCCTTATTGCAAACCTTGCCACACTTGACCGTTCCAAATCCTTAAATTGTCTGATGACAACCACTCAAGAAAGCATATTTGATGTGGGTAAGCCCCTCTCAGTCTTACCAATCACAACATATAACCACTCCAGAGAACAATTTATGGTTTTAAGATGCTTACAAGACCCTCAATTTTAACCCACTCATAAACTGCACTTTGGTCCCCTTGAGAACTTGCATTGCAGGTTCTGAAGGAACCTGACATTTATTTGTATTTAGCTTGCCTCAAAATATATTCTACAATTTAAATGTTACAATACAATTCATTGTGCAGTCTAAAATATGAGGTTGTGAAAAAGCAGCAACAGTTAACTTGACGATTTGGTCACAGTAGATTCTTTTTTTTTCCTCCTTCTGAAATTGCTGCCTGTTTGATTGTTCTATTTCTGGCACTTGGATTAAAAAAACCAAAAAACCAAAAACAAAACCCACAAAAATCAATATTGTTTTACCATTTTCTGCTACCTAACTCACTTGATGATGATTATTAGCAGCCTATCTCAAGTATTTTTTCCAGCACACTGAGGACAGCTTCTTCAGGAGAAAGAGAATATCATCCTTTTACTTGATTCAGCTCCTGGAGTTTTGCCCTAGCTTTCACAGAATTTAAATTTGTCTTCCAGCTCTAAATAAAAACAAAACCAGAGCTAGGGATTTGTTTGTTTCTGTATTTCACTCTCAGGCCTTCCTGTTGCTATAGCTCCTAGACTTTTTGGGAGAGGCCACTGATTCACACTTACCCCAGTCTTATCAGGAAACGAAAGTCAGAAAAATCAGACCCAAACGCAAGGATTTTTTACTTTGCTTTTTACTTCTGGAATACAAGGGGCAACTTTGACTTGGCCATCTTCAGCTGAAATGAGAACAACTGACTTTTTTTTTTTTTTTTTTTTTTTGTGAAAGGAGGTAAAGCCATAGGAAGACAGATCCAAAATACCTTGCAAAGCATTTTTGTTTTACTGCCCTCCCTTGGTGAATTCAGCTGTCAGCCTCCACTGACATCACCTAGAACAGGCTGCTGTCCTGCAGTTATTTCAGGGCAAAGGCAGTTCTGTGGAGCTGGGGAAGAGGAGCTGGGAACTCTCAGTTTCTTCGAGCGTTATGACTATTTCACAACCTCAGACGTGAAATGCCCAAATCTCTGCGAGACATCTGTTGTCCAGCCTCACACGGACACGGCGTTACCGAGCGTTTTGCACCTCGCAGCGCTTCAGCAACTGCTCTGGTGTCATCTTTGTGCTGCTGAAGTGATTCCCACACAGATAAACGAGGCGCCAAACACACTTTCACTTACTGGGTTGGTCGCGACCAGCTCCTGGTTGTTGGCGACCGCCGTCAGTGAGATTATTGTGACAACAGAGTTGCAAACAAAGGAGAAAAACAGATTTTTGTGCAGGGTAATCCTTTGGCAGCTCAAGCTCCTAGGAAAGAGGAACAAGAACAGATGAGCACACGGGAGGACAAATTTAATACAATGATGTATCCTTGAACACCAACAGGACTAAAGCAAGTACATTTAGTTCCATGATGTTTAGCTGCTTTATAGTGGCCAGCTAAAAAAAATTTTAATACTGATAATATAACAATTTTCAGAAGATTTACACCTTTTTTTGTTTTGTTAGTACCTGAAGAATTTCCCAATTACCTATCACACCTGAGCATGAGGAAGATCTCTTACCCTATGTTTCCATTTACCCAAACCTGTTTAGGTTTTTTTGAGGATAATTCCCTTTTACTCATATTCTTGTTATTTTTATTTCCTTAATCCTATAGATAGAGAAATACCTGAATAAGTAAAATAACACAAATCTCACCCTGACTTTTGTGCATAACTAAGCTATAAACACTGTATAGGATACAATTATAAAATCCCTGTATAACTGCATTTGACCGTGTTAGTTTTCAAGGTTTGCTTTTAAACTTGCAGTAAAATTAAAGAGAGATTATCTTTGGAAAGGTGCTTTTTTTTTTTCCCCAAAACAGTGGTTCAGTAATTTTAAACAATACTAGAAATTGAGGAGAGTTGCAGTAAATTTCTTTTGTCTGTCACTAGAGAGGAAGCAGGTCTAACTTAGTGCTGTTCCAAGAGGCATGACTGCTTCTCATTCAAGGGGTTTTTTTGCCCAGCGAAATTCAGCTTTACAGGCAAACCCAAAAGAAGAGAAAAAGCTTTAACTTTCCATTCTCAAAATCCCCCAAACAAGCAAGTAACGTCCCTTTTGTCAGGAAAGCAGACGATGGGTAAAAACAATCCCTTCGTGTTTCAGAGGGGGCGCAGAACCTACGACCAAAGTGACTCGACCAGAGTCAGTACCAGCAGTCAGGAGCCCAGAGTGATGTCACAGCGCCAAATGCTCAAAGGAACCTCTCAGACACACACACACACAGAAGTGATAAGGACTCCCAAGGCTCTGCCCTGAAGAGCCTGTGCTCAGTAACCACACCTACCTGACTCCACCACAGCGCCAGAGACAGGGGGTGAAGCTGATTGACAACCTGAAATGACTGACTGGAGGGGCAAATCTACCGCTTACGTGTGCCACTGCTGCTCGCTGCTAGAGAAATCAGGGATGCATTGACAAGCTCAGCAGGGGGACAATTCCGAACTGTCACACGAGGAGGGGGAAAAATATCAAGTTTTCTAGCCTTTTCATAGAGCATGGCTGGAAGAAAAAGATAAAGCAGGGACACTGGTGATTCATTTGTCATTTGGGAGGGTAGGAGGGAGAAGACCTTTATGTTTTAACAGGAAAATGCCGATACGGAATAGTCATAAAGGTTGGAGGAGATTTTATTTTGGTCTTTTGTTTTAATGCCCCAAACACATAGACTATTGTAATGAGCAGGTTTTTTATGTTCCTTTAAGATGTATATTTATATATTTCTTTCCTATATGGTTTATGTACGAAAAGGGAGACAATGAGAGATTCCAGCGAAGGGCTTTGTGTAAACAAGTCCTGAAGAACTCTGGAATTCTGTCTGCTTATTGTTAAGATTCAAGGCACAGGCAAGGAAGAGCACGTACAGCTAATGGGGCCATCTCTCGGGTCATCCAGCAGCTGTTCCTGTTGAATATTCAAACACACCCATCCACACCCACCTCCACCCATGCATAAAAGGATTGAAAGGATCACCGGACGTGAAATAAGAAAGCAAGACTGATGACATTTAAAAACCAAGACTGCTTTTGGTAATAAAAGGATTTTTTTCCCTAAGCCTCCCCACCCTCCCTCTTCTGTTATCCTTCCTATATTACTTTTTCTGACTGTTTTTCTTAATGATGTAATACCCTTTAATCACTTAATTCTTGTATTTATGATCTAAGAATGTTTGAAAGACCAGCTCCAGGATTAAACCATGTGCAGTAAAATAAAACCAGACCTCCTGTTAAATTACCTATTCCTCTTCCTATTTTGAGTCCTGCCCGACTTGGACATCAGGAAAAAAATTCATTTCTCCAAAAGAAAAAGGGTGACATTTTCAAAAGCTCCTAAATGGGGTTTGAGATCCAAGTTTTTGAGGTATTCCAACAGTGCAAAATTCGATCAGTGAGATCCACATGTGCACTGAGCAAGAGAAAGCAGAGACACTGCAAGAAGTTACTTTTACGTCTCACTGGTGAATTTTCAGAGCAGAAGTTCAGAGTTCCGAGTTGAAGGCCCATTTCCTGCCATTAAACCAAGAGCTCCAATGCACTCGGAGAACACAAGTCACAAACTGGACAAGGGTTTCCAGTGAGACAATTTTCTGAAGAAAAAGCCAAAATTTCAAACGCAAACAGAAAATACAGAAAAAAATTTCAATCCTAGAGAAGATCACTAACTCAAAACACAGAAAGTTGTTATTTGGAAAAAAAAAAAGCCATTTTTTCCCATGGAGGAAAGTGCCAAATTTCTAGTCAAGCCTCGAGATATTCTAGTGATCATCAATCCAGCAAAAGTTGTCTGGAAACTGTTGGTCAACTAACAGAATAAATTTTTTGGAAATGACAAATTCAAAGGCACCCTCCACAATAGCAAAAAGAAAAAAAAAAAAGTCCACCTGTTAAAGCTATGAATAATTACACAAGCTTTAGCTGATACATAATACATCCTGGTATTAATCTAGGTCCTTAAATACCCTTCTGGTACTAAAAATACTTTAGAGGAACCATACATCCCAAGAGAACAGCTTGCAGAGGACTTTCTTTAGCTTCCTTTAAATTTTGTAATTTCCTTTTATATCCCAACATAACCACAGCGAAGAAGATGTGGTTTGTGGGTCTGGATTAATTCCGTGTGGCTCTCTGAGGAAAGAGGATCCTTCTGCCAGAGGGAGAAAAAGAATCCCTGGATGGTCAGACAGACATGACAGGGTACGTTAGCAGAGAAGATCACCTGCTTTTGCATTAAATGCCAAAAGCCAAGGTGAAATTGCCTTGGTTTTCAAATTATAATCCAGAATAATCATGCTTGACTGTCTCTGGGATTATAAAATTATATCCTATTTCAAATTTTTTTGTTTTCCTCAGAGAAATCTGTCCAGGCATTTTTCCTGTCATGTTAGATATTTAATCTGCTAAACTCTGTGTGACATTTGTTGCAACAGTACAGGCCTTTTTTATGCAAAATCAAACTTCCTATAAGGACTCAGAGCCATTTCAGATGTTGAGGTCCTGGAAGGAAAGCAAACTTGGAAATGGTAAGCATTGTCCTAAGAGGTCACATCACATGCAAATAAACTTATTAAAAGCCAAATATTCAGGTTTTCCTCGTGAAAGGAGATCAGAAAAAAGCTGAAAGGTCATCTTGAATACTGGATTTCATAAAGAGAAGCTACAAAGACCCTGAGGTTAGCTCAGTTGATTAAAGCATGGTGCTAATTACACCAAAGTTGTGGGTTTGATTCCTCCATGATTCACTTGAGAGCTGGACTCGACAATCCTTGGGGATCCCTTCCAAACCCAGAATATTCTGTGATTCTGTGCAGCTGAAACATTCTGATTTGTTGGGGCTTTGTGGCAGTGTTGTGGAAACCTGGAGAAATAATGCATAGCTAAAGTGCAAACACTCTTTTCCACCAGATGTGTCTAAAACTGATATTTTTAAAGTCAGGTATCATCTGCCCCCACCTAATCAGAGTCCACAGCATGAGAAAAGGCAGAGTCAGTGGCCACTGTATGTGCTACTCCTATTTAAATGTTAGGAAGAAATTAAAGGTGGAGTGAGAGAGCAGGGCATAGAGGCAAGAAATAGGCAAGGCTGAAGAGCAGATGTTCATTTTCCAGTGAGAAATAAAGGAGAAACGATGAAACTGGAGCCAGTTAACAAGGGAAGCCCACACTGTGCACTGCAGCAGCTGGCAGAGGGAACAACTTATCTCTCTCAGCTCTGCTCATGTGGCAACCCTCCTGGTTTCACCTTTCTGCTAAGCCTCTTGAAAGGCTCTTAAAGAAAAAAAGAAAAAAAAAACACAAAAAAACCACCAAAAAACAAAGAAAAGGAGTCTTTCACAGGGAAGAAAAGCGAGTTCACAAAACATGACGTAATAACACTAATTTTAAAAGACATTATATTATGAGCTGTTGTGACAGTGGTGATACACTGCTCAAAGTTTCCTGCAAGGAGGTAACATAATAACTGTTAGTCAGTGGATGACATGCCTGTCGTGCACATAATGCAGTGAATAAAAGAAAGGGATTGTTTTTATTATTCCCATTTCTACTGTAGCTTTTAGCCTTACTTTCTTTACAGTTTGTCATATTTGTGAGTACCCACTTTGGAATGTTACTGTATGTATCACATGTCATCGGGATTTTGGTTTCCACTTGCTCTTTAGTTTGGCAGATGCTTGGCATAACAGAGAATCACAGAATATCCTGAGTTGGAAGGGACCCCGAGGACCAGCAAATCCAATTCCTAAAATCCACACTGTAATTTTATTGCTGAAATAACCCGAACATCACAGACTCCAACCAGAACAAACATCTCCCCATTTCCTATTTTCAATATATTCCACAGCTTTTGATTCCCAGGTTTTTAATTTTGGGTTCCTGAGAAAATAAACCTACACATTTATGACAGCCATGACGTTCAATGCCAAATCAACATCGTGGCTTTCTTCACCTTCTCGCTCAGTCTAATTTCATTTGGGTGGCTGGTGGCTCAAAGTACTGAAAGCACTGCTATTTGACAGAGGATCTTAAATATACTTACTTAAAATAAAAGAAAATGCCCAGAGAAATGAGAAGTGATGCGATTGAGAGGCCGTGTCCGATGATGGCCAAGTAATACAAGTTCAGAGCCGTCTGCAAGACAAGAACAAAGCCAGGCACCTGAGATTCCTGCAGAACCATTCTGCACAAAGCACACATTTATACATCTCATCTGCACATCAAATGACTGTTAACAGCATTAAGAGAAAGAGAAACATTTCAGGTAATGATAAGACAAGTCCTGAATCCTGCAAAACAACACCTTGATGAACTCTCTCTCTGTAGGAAACACAACAGATTGATGGAAATCATCTCTGGAATGTACCCCTTACCAGTTTAAACACCAGGTTTCTAACATATCCTGCTATGGGGTTTTATGAGTGTTTATATAAATCTGGATATTTAAGCTACTGCACTGGGTGCATTTCCTGTCTGAGGTTTGGTTCTTCTGGTAAGACAGCTCCTAAGTAAAACTTGCTCCCCATAGGAATTTATTCTTTTCCTCCCAGGAGGTTTTCTCTTATCATTTAAAGGTACTTTCTTTAAAGAAAGCCATGATTATGATACTGGAAATTCTGTTCTCATTCAGCATTTAAGGGAGGGCTTGAAAAAAATTAACAACTCAAAAGCAGTGAAGACTGAACAGATTTGTTAAATAAGCCTACAGCCAAATTATATGAAAATCTGGCTAGATAAAAAAAAAGGTTAAAAAGGAACTGGTAAATTAATGTTTGCAATATGTTCATGTTATCATTAATTATTTTAGTTAACAAATATATTCAATTAAAGAATAATTTAATTAATAATTACCATAAAAAGTAACAAACCTCTACTTTCAGTTATGGGATCTGTCTCACAAAACCTCTGTTGTTGCATTAAATGTAAGATTATCGTTTGGCACAGCAGGAAATGAAGATTTTTAGGTTAAGCTTTATACTCTCACAATAAAGCACAACTACCTGGATTCTATAGGGAGAATTAGAACATGCATACAAATGCTCACATACTGCAAACTCCTTGTGTCCCCTGAACTTATTATTCCAACTTAAGACAGACTAACAGCTTGTTATATACACTGACTTTCGAAATAACACAAAAAGATTCCAGGTAAAGCTTTAAGCAGGTTGTAAGACGACAAATGCTACAAATCTTCAAATTACCATCACTTCTAAAAATGAGATAACTTCTTTAAAAAAAGAACAAACCAACAATGCAATAGGCGTAAGTGAAACTTCCACGAAAATTTGGAAGAGAGTAAAAACAATGGGTACCCTGACATGCTAAAATTTGGGCTGTATCAATACCAGTGAGAGCTGAACAATGCACAGCAGTCAGATTTATTGTGCAATACCTAACCCGCCTCCCGAGCAGAGCGAAGGGACAATGATACCTCATATAACAACACAGTGAAATGTAGCAAGCACTAAGGCTTTTGTTCAGAGCTATTATTCCACTTTAACAACAGCTTCTGATGTGTGGCAGAGCTGGAATATGCAGGCAAAACAGCCCGAGGGAAACTACCTCGTTATTCATAAAGAAGGAGTTTCATAGATCTGCTTCTGTCTGAATAATATCCTCAGTTCCCGGCCAAGTATTAGCAAGAATCAACGAATATAGAAATTCTGCTAATAGAATTCAACTGCCATTAGTGAACTCCAGGTCTTAGGATTTGAGGAAAAGCAATAAAAAAAGTGTCTTATTGTCATCTGTTACCGCCTTTTGCTGAATATGTTTTTTGGGTAAATATCCTGAGGTATTCAACAACAGTGGTGTAGGAAGTTAAAATCTCTATTACATGTCAGGTTTCTTGACGCAATCTGCTGCTGTTCAGCCGCTTTCCGTGAGGTCCAAATTAATTTACAGCCTACCTTGACCTGCATTTTACATTCCTAGTTCTTGGGCATTTAGAGTTTCAATTTACAGCTTCTTTCCATGACTGACTGTTTCATAAACATAACGAATTTTAGTGGAAATACAGTTAGGGGGAGGCAAAATATGCAATTTTGCCCATGGTGTCCTCACATATCACAAAGTAGTTAAAAAAGAGATCACTTGGGATTATTTTTTTCTTTTTCTACACTTTTCAATGGATGGGCATCTTGAAGATAAGCTGAAGTATATAAAAATATTCCCACATGGGTATGTGTGTGGGTAGAGTCTACCTTTGATACATAGGAAACAACTCAAGGCATTTTGCTGCCTGAGCTTGAGATAATTTTGGGTGCCTGCAAAATATCAGGTAAATAAACTCAAAGTATAGGTTTTCTATTCATGTGAGTGGCTTGATATCTCAGAAAAAAGGCATTTGGGAGTCGGGCCACAAAGGAAAAGGAGCAGAGAGACCCTATCTAACAGCTCTCATAATTTAGTTCCCTTTGGCCCCCAAAGATCCTGGGGTGAATCTACCCGGTTACAACCTGCCTCCAGTTGTGGAAAAATGGACAGATTAGGTCTGCTTTTCACACTGGGGAAAAAAAACAACCTAAACCCCAAACATCTGAGCTCTGCTGAAAGCTGCCTCGAAGATGTCTTAATTAATCCCAAGAAAAACTCTGGCTGAGCACCCGCTGAAAATCTGTCTCACAGTTCACTGGATAAAGCCACGCTGTCAGCACGTCTTCCAAAGATGGGCAAACCTCCTGCAGCTCTGCTCAACTTGGACCCTACTTAGGAATTCCAGAGCAAAACATAAAGGTCTGTTCTTGCAAGGCACACACTTCACTTACCAGCAGATGACTGTGGATGGCCTAGACAAGTTCTAGTACCCTAACACATTTAAAATACCCACGAACAACAAATATTATCGTGTTATTTAAGCAGTTGAAATCAGCTGTGTGAGACCAAGCAGGTAGATTGGAGGAATCTGTTTTGCACAATTCACCCTTTTTGTTCAACATTCTTTCTTCTTTTCGTGATTTGAAGATGCATCAACTCTGCTGCCATCTGAGTTTTGATACTTATGAAATTTTTCAGAGCAGTTTCTTGACACTGGTAACATGCATTCATTCCTTTCCTACCTTCACTTTTTCATGTGTGTAGCTGTTGCACTGGGTATAGTTTGTCCACGTCCTGTTGCTTTCAGGGTGTCTAAACCAATTCCCGTTTGGATCGCAGATCTTCGTCACTTTTTCTGCAGTCGAAGTCGACGGAATGAGAAACAAAAGAAGGAAAATGAAAGAAAAATGCAACAGTCAGCACTGAAGTTCTATTTCCTGATGCCAAGTATTTAATAAAGATTGGCAAACAGCTGACAGCTTTATTAATATGACTAGAGAGACTTTGCTTGTTACTACGAATTCTGAGAAACCAGAGGCTGTTGCTTTTGCTTGGCAAGAGCAAATGATGATGTGATTTTCCTTAAGAAAACAAATAGATTTTGCTCCTCCAACCCAGTAAGTATCAAAATATATTGAACTGTTAGAGAACTACCAGATGAAGTGACAAGGGTATTTAAATGGCTTGTTTGACACCCAAGATCTAAACTGAAGTTTGACATCCTACCGCTGTAAATTAGGATTGGACAGACAGCAACAGAAAAACCGCTCGAGAACCAAACTGGAAATTTTCTGGAACCACAATAATTTCTATCATCAAATAGAAAGAGGCATAAAAGGACCCTGGGAAATACAAAACGGGCAGAGAGGGACATGACTATAAATCTATGACATTTTTCACATTAGCCCACAGAAACAGGAAAGGAATCAGAGCGGGAGAAACTCTTTGTGGACTTCAACTGCTGAATCGAGGTAAAAGAGTAAGTCCTGTTTTCTGCTTGCCTGTGAGAGAGAGAAAAGGTTTTCTGAGAGAAAAGATCATCTCTAAGAGGAAAAAAGTATGACTTCACTTTAGTTCCTACTCGCTAATCTACAGAATTCCTCAAGGACATGGTTCAAAAAAGAAAATAAGTGCTTGTCAGTTTTCTATGTGATAAGAGGAAAATGTAAACATGGGTCTTGAGTTTCTGAAATTCTGGAGCATTAATAAGTTGAGTGGGGCAAACAAGAGACATCAAGCACCCAAACCCTCATTCCATTAAGAAATAAGCTGATGTAGAAGCCAATGCACGCTTACCTGATGGGTTGAAATCCTGAAAGTAGTCAGGGCAGCGCTGCACTGACACTGTTCCAGCAGCAACATCACTCCAGCACAACCAGCCATCCCACGTCCTGTTACAGTAGGGACCTGCAAACAAGTAGAGACCTGGTAATAAAAGAACAACCCTTCTTTCGTAATGGTCTTCCAAAAGTAGAGATGTAAGAAAAAAAAAAAAGGGGACAGAAAAATAAAGTTTAGCAGTAGTTGATTAAAACTCCACTTAACAGAGAGAGTTCCTTATACATACATTTCTTCAGAAACTTTCTAAAATTCGTTCTCATTCTACATCTGCAGTTTACAAGCTTCTGATCTGGAACACAGTGGGCAAAAAAGCCTAAATCAATTCATAGCCAGTGATGTACCTCAGCAAAGAGTCTTATGATCTTTCAAAATTGCTTTATATTTTGGGTGTATAACAAGCCTATAAACATGTTTTCTAGTTCACTAAGAACGCAGAGGTGTCCTAGAAGCCATGAGAAAGCCTGGCTGGGAGGCATCCACAGCTCCTCTGCCTCAGGCTGGGCTGAGCCTGCAGCGATCCCTGGACAGACACTCCTGTAAGTGCTCCAGGAACAGGGAATCCACAGCGTCCCTCAAGAGCCTGTTCCAACGCCTCACTGCACTCACACAAATTCCAACACCTAAAATAAACTTCCCTGGAGAACGAGCTGGGGTTTTATAAACAAATTCCTTTCCCAAAAGGCACACAGAATGACTGACCATCTCTACGGATTGGAAGATGTTTTTGAAGTGTCTCGCTTCAGGTTTCTTTTAAAGACTTAAATAACGTCCTCATTTTCAAAGGCTGCAGTTTTCAAACATTTTGTTTGAAATTCCTCCTTATCTGAAGATTTTCCAGTTTGTTCCAGACCCTTCTGAAGAGGCCCCAAGCTGGACATAAGCTTACACTGTCATGCATACCCATGCATTCATTTCGGACCTCCAGGCATTCAGTTCCTCCAAAGAATCATTTCAGAAGAGAAAAATCTCTTTGGAAAAGAACATAATTACCCTTTCCTTGCCTCAAAAAGCCATTCAGTGTTTCCAGAAGTTACCAAGTGAGAACCAGTGAACAGGTAGAGAGGTAGAATCAGCTCTGAGTGAATTATCAGAAAAAGCAAGAACAACACCAACACTTTTCTCATCAGAAATAAAAGCTCTGTGTTATATAAGAGGTGGTGTAACAGGTAATGTAACATATCACTTTATCTTCCTGCATCCCAAAGTGGGGATGCTTCTAAAAAACTATACAAATATTCTCACAACCCAAAAATAATTGCCAGCAAGACAAGAATGTAACACAACTTAAGGGATCCTGAATTGGTGTCATTGTATCTGTTGACCGTTTCCTCAGAAAAAACCTCACCAAAAATAAATTTCTACCTTCTTTCCTGTGAATAGGATCTTGCATGATTTTCTGGTAGCATTCATACTGTGCTGTCATAATTTTATTCCGTGTGACACTCAGCTGCATGAAGTCCTCTGTGATGTTCTGGTGCCCCTCAGATGGTACAGCAGTGGCAAAAAACTACGAGGAAAAAGACTTCTTTTAGCAAATCACCCATAAGCTCCAACATAAACTTCTCTCAATGTCAATCTATTTAAATATAGTATTTTAAATATTATTTTACTGAAGGAAAGGGATCTTCAAATCTTATTACTGGCAGTGTGATTTTTGTGGATTTTTTTTTTTTCTGGTTAATTTAGCAATTCTTAGTGCTGAATGTTGACAAATGTCTCCTGAATGAGCACAGGGGAGTAACAATTGGTAATATTTGTAAATAATAGTGGCAGCATGCATAGAAAGCACTGAGACAGCCAGGGGCACATCAGCATATTTTTGTAAAATCCAGTGAAATATATCAAAGTTCAGTCTAAAAGGAAGTATTTCAGTCAGGCCCAAAATGATCCCTTATGAAAAAAATAAGGGATATATACTTTATGCACTGAAGCATTTGGCTTGTCCAGAGCTATTTGGTTCCTCTAGTCTGGTGAACCATAAAGTCAACCCTCAGAATGCGAAAAGACATTCAAAAGACACGACATGCACTTTTATGGATACTAAAATTTAAAAAAAAAAAAAAAATCTTAGGATTCTTGATTAAAATCTGTACCTTTTAAGTGCATTTTTTAATAGTAATTTTATATTTTCCGGGAAGCCGCTAAAATGTTAAAACAGCTGCAGATTGAAATACTCCACCACTGTCATACAAGGGATGAACTTTAAATTCCTGAGGGTGTCCCTCTGAATCTCAGATGTCTCCTCCACTCTTCCTGGGGTCCACAGAGTATTGCTTGCATGTCACTCATCAACCATTGCAGTTCTGAGCCAGCAAAGGATGTGCTGGGTTCAGCAGGGGTAAACACTATTTCTGTTCCTTTACGAGGGGAATTTAAAGGAGAACAGAAGGTGGGTGAAGATCCCGCTGTGCAGAAACCACGTCTGGACGCAAGATTAGTTATTCCTGCGTTTCCTTATTAATAATTTCTAGGGTGTTCTGTATATGCTGGTTAGAACTGCAAGGGATTTAAAAAATTCATGCGACTCACCATAGTAACCGATAAGAAGAGCAAAAACATGATCCAGTTTTTTGTCATCTCCGCGGCCGGTGCAGTGAATTTTATGTTGTGGTTGAATGAACTCAAACTGCAATGGGGGAAAAAAAAAAAAAATTAGGAAGAAATTTAGCAATCAATCAAAGCCCAAAGGGATAAAAGACTTGTTTTATTTGTGAATTAAACCAAGCCAGTGGAGGTCCTCTCAATTTGTCTCCTGGACACCTCTGCCTTCGGGCCACCACAGCAAACTGCAGTTCAGTTTCCTTAAAGCAGACTCAGACTTTTACAAGCACACACACACACACAATCATTTTGTATTTTCTTCATACCAGATGATATTTAATTTTGCCATTTCAGCAAGAGCCACTTTATCCTGAAGTTACGACTTTGTGAGGATGGCAACGATGCTGCAAGAATTAATTGTGAGCTGTAAAATAGTTTCTGTATCTGCAGTAGCTGTGAAGTAGTTTCTTTATCTGTCATTTGAAGAAAATACAGCTACCCAAACCAGCTATGATAGCCTTGCAGTGCAGACTGTTCTTGGAATTGATTCTTGTAGTGTGAAATGCATCTAATGTATAAAATATACAAAATTATTTATTAAGTACATAGACCATCTATCAAGGGTAAACCTGCTGTGACAACTGCCTCAAAAGCAAGGGAAATTTCTAAGAGATTTGTCGTGCAATATTTCACTGTGTCCTGAAGTATCCTGAGAAGATCACAGAGCTGGGTCTGGAACCGAGATAAGAGCTTTTCTTCTGCTTGCCATCGTGGAGAAAGGCCTCTCCACATTTAATTTAAGTTATTACAACTAAACCACATCTCACAAATCTTAAGTATCTCACTGTACTACCATTAATGAAGCTACTTTCAGATGAAAAAAAGATGGTAGCACATTTGTGAGTGTGGCTGCCTCGTACAGATTCATTCAGTACAAATCTCACGGCGTGAATGAAGACCCAGATCTCACATCCTCCACAAGTCCCTCACGCAGCCAGCTCAAGGATCCCACTGCCACAGAACCAACAGGGCTGCTGGGTGCTGAGTGCACACAAACCTGCACCCTGAGCTCAGATCACACTTGCTGCTGTCTTTGGAAGTTTTTATTATCCAGCTGTCCCGTCCTGTGAGGGACTGGAGGACGACAAACAGCTTTTAGTACTTTGGCACGTAGAGGTAATTGGACAGAAAGCTCATTCTTTTTTAAAAAAAACCCCATCTTAGTCACAAAAAGCAACTATTCTATACCCACTTTTCTGCTTCTGCGCTGAAACTGAGTCCTCTTAATACAACAACAACAACACAATCACCAGCATTCTGTAGGATATGCCAACTACAAAATATGAGATCACTGCACAGCCTGGTGCAGATACAAGAGATGTGCTGTAAAATCAGTTACTTTTGTGCCTGTTTCACCCAGACTAAAACTGTATCCATAATTTCCCTTCTATTTTTCCCAGTGGCACAGAGTCCTGTAACACTGATTGCTGCAAATTGCACAGGTGATTCAAACACAGTGTTCTGAAAGCTCTTAGAACACTTATAGAGAGACCAATTAACATCCCCGAAATGTATCAGTTTGAGCAAATACTACTCTGGAAAATCCACATGTGGTGAGAACTAAAGTAAAAGGATAATTGTAAGGACCATGTTAACTAAAGAAAAATCTAAATATCTACGTGTAATGACTAAAGGTTACCTAAAACCAGATATCTACAAATATCTAAATTAGATATCTAAGTTAGCAAAGAGGCAATAGGATTTCAACTCTGCAGGAGAAGTGGGGGCAAGGATGATTAATTCTAACCTCTAACAAGTTTCATTCATTCAAAGCGTGGCTGTTTTCCTAGGAAGGGGAAAAAACCTGACCTTCTAAGGAAATTGGAATTAGTAACTTGACTGCTAAGTAAGTCAATAACCTTTTCTCTCCAAAATATGACAAAGCACATCTGTGCAGAGTTAATATCCACAAATGATGTGCACAGGTCAAGCCAAGAGATCAATCAAGTAGAAAATAGCAACCATAATTTGGGCATGTTTTTCTATACACGTATACAAGAGTTCAAAATCATTTTCTCCACAATAGCTCCAAAAATCCTTATGCTAAAACTAATGTTGGATGGAAAATTTAAAATGCATATTTATATACTGCCCTCCCTTAGCCTTGCTTATCTAGGCTTCTCAATTTATTTAAAAGATACAATTTATCTAAAAGATACAATATGATATAAACAAAGGCAGAAATTATCTGCTTTGATTCACAGTCCAAGTTTATTTCTGTTTCACAATATCAAAAGTCATCCCTTAGCTCAGTTCCTTTAATGGTCCAAATCTTTTAATACCTAGTGATTTTGTAAACATTTCCTATCAACTGTCCCAGCATCCACTGGTAAATTATTAAGTCTTCCCAGGAGAGAAAATGTTAAGTCAAGCCTATAATTCACTCTGTGCTTTCAACTCATTTCTCTCCATTGCAAACTTCAAAAGAAAAATATAGAGAGAGAAAAAAATGCTTTTTCTAAACATCCTTACTTATGGAATAAAGCACAAAATGCAGGATGAAGGTCATTCAGATACCTCTTTGGACTTCAGGAAAGCATTTCTTGCCTCACTATGTGAATTCATTCACTCAACATTCCTTATGGAAGCTGAGAGAGAATCCCTTGACTCCACTCTGTGACAATGGGGACCTGCACAAAATCCAGTAGGACTGTGATTTACCTGACAGGTACCAAATGAAACTGTAAGTGGTGTAAACACAACACTACAGCTACTAGCAGTGTTCTGGCTTTGTTTTCCCTGGAAAAAAGGGATCATCAGAGGGAAGAGAATGGGGAATTGCAACAGCAACTCAGATCTTCAAAATATCATTTTTATTTTTTGCCCTGAGGACAGTGAAGTCTGGGGTAACTTAAAAAAAGGAACTGATTTTCCTCTTTATTACGTTCTCTGTTACCCACATTAATGATCCTCCTGAGGCCAACATTGTGTTTGTCACTGATAGCAGTGACATCTACTGAAGAAGGAGGAATTCAAAAGGAACTGCAAGCTGAACTTCGCCAAAATAGCCACTGGTATGGCTTTAACAGATGTTCACATTTCTCTTCCTTCTGCTTTCTCCATAGAGCCATCCTGCTTAATCAGCTGTTTCTACTTTTAACCTTTCCCCATCCTCCCAAGAATAAATGGCATCCCTGCTGAGCTGCAGACACTTCCCATTTCAACGACACAGTAAAAGGGTTAAAAAAAGGTAGTCAGCCAGAAAGATCCTTTTTTGAACTTGAAAACCACGATTAGCACAAAATCCAAACCACAGACAGCTTCCACCTCAGCAGTTGCCCTCCAGTCTGACCCTGGGGGAGTGGGATAGGAGGGAGACCCTACTTATGTCTTTGCAGGTACATTCATACACAGGCACAAACATTTCTCACTAATTGGTAACCTTTGGTTTGCCCAGGAAAGAGAAGCCAGACACACAAACCAACAACAACAACAACAACAAAACCACAAAACATTTGCAGTAGAATTGACACACCTTGCAGTGTGAAGTTAAACATGTACGGATGTAGATGTAAATCCTTCCTCTGTGACTGAAAATGGGGTCAGAATGGCTTTTTTTTTTTTTCTAGACCACCTCTGCCCCCCCTTTTTGTTGTCCTACCAGTCCCTGGTTTTGTTTTGTTGCAATATCTCTTAGAAATAACTGTACATGCCACCTGGTTCTTTTTAGAGAGCAGCTTACAACTCAAAGTATTTTAAACCTCAAGCAGTGTTTGGTTGTTTCTGCCCAGGATACAGGCAAAAGAAAGCATCTGGCAAATGCCCTATGCTTTTCCCTACTTTGAATTGCTGGAGTACAGTGTTATAAAAAACAACCCCAAAAACCAGTAGGCTCAACTGGAATTACATCTCCACTCACATAAACTTTCTGGGGAATACTCTTCTGACTGCAAGGCTCAGAAAAAAGGCAGTGCCAGCCTGACATTAATGCATACCAGATCCACTGATTCCTAAAAGTGGACTAGAAAATCTCCACACTTATCTTAGAGAACAATGCAGGGTAGTTTGGAAATCTTCCTATTTGGGTAAAATGCCTTTAACTTCTGAGGGAATCACTCCTGTCAGCATTTGATCAAACTGCTCTAATGGTATTCCATAACAGCTCATAAATTCAATTTAACCTACTATACTGCTTTACAACACTGATGCTTATGGAAGGCATTTCCATCCTCACAGCCATTATCCATTCAAATCCCGCCCTGTGACCTCCTCTCTTCAAATCAGTTGGGGTACAACAAGTGGAACAACAGGAATAAAAAAAAAAATGGAACAACAAGAATAAAAAAAATACTCCTAACACTATTTTGAACTCATTAGAAGCACTGGGAGAGATCCCTGTGTGTAGAGAACCCTGAAAGAGTTCATCTGAGAAGTAGAGTGGCTTACAAAGGATATTCCTTGCACTGCAGAATAAAGGTGCTTCTAGACCACATGAAGAACTCCACAGGTGAATTAGTAATTAGGAAAATATTTGCAATATTCACATAATCGTCACGAAAATCAGGAAATAAATAGGAAATAGGAAATAAACCCCAAGTTTAAAAAGGAACCGAGTTTCTTTAGTCATCCTCTGAACACAGAGCATTGCTCACATGCATGGGGACATTGTAAAAAAATGCCACACTGAGAAATCCCTCCTTCTCCCTTTCCTTCCAGGAATTTTTCCTAGGAAGCAGTTGTGGCACAATGGCATTGCCTGTCTTCTTGAGGATTAACAGAAATAAAGAAGCAATGCAGTGGCACATCCCAATTTTGCCATTCAATTATTTTATAACAGCTTTATCGTGCAGGTGGCAGTTCAGCAGGAAAAAGTGCTGGCTGTTTAATTCTTGGGCCATGAGCTACCCTGGTCTCCCCATGCAAGTAGAAAATCAGGTCTAGTTCAAAGATGTTTTCACATCTTTTATTCTCTCCATTACCACGCTTTTTGCTTTTTGTTTTTGCACCCCTCTGGTTTCTTGCCAGAGGCCCTGCAGAGATTGAAGAACCATCTGTATATGAGATTACACAGATTAAATTACTCCC